CTGTTGGGTTCCCTCAGTGAAATTCAATTTGAGGAAGCACTTTTCAATTCTAATATGGACAACAATACTTTCATTCTCAAACATCTTACCATTCCTGTTTAATTACCACCATCAGAACCGTAACCCTCCAGCTTTCCTCCCCTATTGTCATTGTCACTACCATCACCATTTTGGTAGGTGATCTCTATGATAGCTTCCAATGACCCCTGCCTCCTGGTATTTTTCCACTGTGTAATCCTATCCTTTTGAATATGGGTTGTGTTTAATGACTTGTTTCGCATTAATAGAATTGAGCAGAGGTGATGGGATATTGCTTCAAAGATTACCATCACCGGAAGCAATGGTGGATGAGTTAAACCCAGTGACTCAGGAGGCTGAGGCAGGAGGAGGATCACAAATTGGGAGTGCAGCCTCAAGTGATTTAGTGAGGCCCTAAGAAACTTAGAGAGATCCTGTCTCAAACAACAAAAAGGGCTGGGGATGTAGCTCAGTGGTAAAGTGCCTCTGGGTTCAATCCCTAGTATAAAAAAAAAAAAAAAAAAAACCTATCAAAAGACTTTGGCTTTCATTTTAGGTATTCTATAAGTTGCACTGAGGAAAGCCAGCTGCCATGCTGTCAGCTACCCATGGAGAAACCCACACTGCAAGTAATGAAGGGAGGCCTTAGGTCAACATTCAGCAAGGTTCAAGAGCATAAGAGGAACTGGATCCTGCCAATAATCATGCACATTTACTTGGGAGCAGATAGTCCTTCAGTCAAGACAACAGATGAGAACTGTACCCCTGCTGTCACCTTGGTAAACAGGCTTGTGAGAGACTGTGAGACAGAGGTATCCAGCTAAGACATGCTAATTTCTGACCCACAGAAACTACAAGATAATGAATGTATGTTGTTTTGAGTCACTAAGTTTTGGTTACCAAAAATAGGGGTAATTTGTTATGCAGCAATAGGTAACTAATGTAGTCACCATCACCATCACCATCTTCAAACTCACATCATCAATATCACCATCTCCACAACAACATGTTCTCAAACTTACTACTATAACTGCCATCACTGCCATTGCTGCTGTTATCATAGTCACCACCATTACTTTAAACTCAAATATGGATTCCCATGGGCACCATTACCACATTATCAGCTGCAGAAGTCTTTCTAGCACCCAATATGTGCCAGACCCCACTCAAGCCCTAGGATTACAAAGACATAGGGGACATAATCTATGCCCTCAGAAAATCTATTGGATACTAGTTGAGGAATTATGACACAGTTATAAAAAGTGAATATTAAATCAAGGAAGTCTATGCTTATTGACACTGTGGATCAGGGTGGTAGGAGAAGACTTTGTGCAGCAGAGGGCACCTAATCTAGGTCTTCAAAGACCAATGAGATTGGGAGAAGCAGTGGAGGAAGAGGAAGATGTGAATTAGCTTGATACTTCTGGATAAAAATGAAATGAGGAGATCTCAGGGGGGAATCCATTATGGGGAGCAATGGGAAGTGAGTTTGGAGCCAGAAAAGAAGCACATGGAAGTATATTGCATTATAAATTTGTGCATGACTTTATACTTTCCAAAGCATTTTCTGGGCTGCTATTTCATGAAGGCCACCTACTTCTTCTTTTAAATGGATATAATATCTTTATTTATTTATTTTTATATGGTGCTGAGGATTGAACTCAGTGCCTCACACATGCAAGGCAAGACCTCTACCACTGACTGAACTTCAGCCCCAGCCCAAGATCATCTTCTTTAATAGAAGGGAAAACTATGGTTTACAGGAATTTAAATGGGCTAGGGATGTGGCTCAGTGGTAGAGCATTGTGAGGCCCTTGGTTGAATTCCTGGGGTGGTGGGGACATCTCTCCTTTTCCAGTACAGCCATAGGAGACAAGCCTGGGACAGGGGCCTCAGCTCTCTGTCCCAGTGGAGGCAGTGTGGAGTGATGGGATCTAGATACCTTGTTTTAGTGGTAACAATGGGCAAGTTAATCAACTCCATACTTATCTCTCGGCTGGTGTTGTATCTGTAGACTAGATATCATATGAAAAACATTGCCTGGTGTCTGGCATATGGCAGCCTGGTAATAAATTCCATTCCTTAGTCCCTTCCACCCTCCCTCCTCCCCAGTACCTTGTCTGGCACTGGAGGCTGGACAGACATGGCATTCAGGTAGGCCTGCCACTAGTAACTCCAGGGGGCACCATTCACACATGGACAAGAGGGTCAGGAGCATTAAGAAGGAGATGCTAGGTCTAGGGTTGTGGCTCAGTGGTAGAGCACTCACCTAGCATGAAGAAGAAGGACATGCTAGTGACTAGCCACTGCTAAAACCTTCCCTTCCAGAAAGTCTTTCAAAATCAATCCCAGATGAATTGAAGGCTACTCCTCTCAGTTCTGGATTTTTGGGGCAGATAATTTGCCTTATACCCTTTCCCGGAAGGCTATAACCTCTCCTTGCTGCTGAAGATGGGCATCCTAGGACTGGCAGGACCCTCTGGAGCCTTATGAAATCCAGGCCCAACCTTCAGCAGGAAATGTACCATGAATCCTCACAATTGTTAACAACCTTCATATTCATAGCTTTGTTAATGCTCAGTACCACCCTAGGACACAAATCTTACTATTTATTATTTGCTTCACCCCCATTTTACAGATTAATAAATGGAAGCTGACAGGTTAAATGATGAAAGTGGTGAGTGGCAAGTGGCTTAGCTGACCCCAGTTTCAGGATGCTAAATTCTATGTTCTCTTCTCCACCCATGCTGTCCCATGGCTTAGAGAGGAGTGATTTGCTTGGGCTTAAAGCAGAAGGTGGGTTAGAACCAAGGCCTCCTATACACCTCCTAGGGCAGTATTTTTTTCTGCTCCATCACCCTGTACCCAGTAGAAAAACTGCTGTGGGAAAACAGTGGAGAGAAAGAAATGATGGGTGGAGAGAAGGAGGAAGCTAAAAACTGCAGAGGATAAGGTTGATATGGAGATGAGACAGCTAGGACACCAGGGTCCCTAGTTGGATGGGGCTGGGACTCCCTACTCAATCAGGCCCCAGGCTGCAGGCTGCCAATGCTCCTCCATCAAGACCCCTGGAGAGCCTGAAATCAAATATTCCTCCTCCCCTGCTCAGGCAGCCTTATTGCCATTGACAGCAAATATATTGCTCTAATCTTTTCTCATTTTGCAGGGATGGGCTCCATTCTGACCTCCCTCCCAGCCTTGAAGGCTTCACAGAGGTGGGAGGGAGACATGAAGGAGGAAAAGGAATGAAGGGGGAGGGGAAGGGCAGGTTGGGCTGTCAGTGGGGCAGCTGCAGTGATCCCAGACTTGATATGGCCTTGTCTCTAGAAGGCTGAAAGCTTCTGGGAATGTGGAGGTCCCTAGAGAAAGCCAGTCCCTCCATACCTTCATGACTAGGCTCTCCCTGTGGAAGCATATGGGAAAGACTTTGTGGGCAGTGAGGATGTAGGCCTGGGGCCCCAGGGAAACAGACATCTGCAGAGCAGACAGTCCTGGGGTGTGTGTGAGTGGGGAGGCTTCCTGCCTGTCCTACTGTCCTCTGCTACCCAAAGAAGCCTTGCCAATATGCGTGTTACTGTTCCTTTGGCTGCCTCTCTTTCTGGTCTTCTCCACTTAAGAACAATCACTTGGCAAACCTCAGAGCAGCCTTGTGGAAGGGTCATATGTGTGGGAAGTTGGGAGAAATAGGCTTAGGAGCACCCACTCTAGGGGACAGGCATGGGACAGGGATAGTACCCAGATCTCAGGCAAGGAGAAAAGGACAGGGTGGGACAGAGTGCTTGTGGGAAGAAATCTGGAGATCAGAATCAGCTAGGGGTACTTGAAAGGGGAAGAGCATATGAGTGGGGCTTGGCCAGGAAGGGGACCAGGTGGCATACCTAGAGTAGAAGGGAGGTAGGCTGAATCTAGTGCTCTGACTGGAGAAACTGGAGGACCAGAAACCTGGGCCTCATCTGTGCTGCTAAAAATCAACCCCCAATGCCATTGACAGCAAATGAATTGCTCTAATCTTTTTTGTTTTGTCAAGATGGGTTCCATTCTGACCTCCCTCCCAGCCTTGACTCTCCTAGGTCTCCCCTAGGGTAGGGTAGTGCCTCTGTATCACATCATATGAGCATCTTGTCTTTAGGATACACCTTCAGGTTGGGCTAGAAAGTTTTCTGGATCCTGACAGTTTACCAGTGGGAGAGCACCTCAGTCTGTGTGTGCGATTGAGTGCGCATGCATATGCGTGTGACCAATTTCTTTATTTGAGGCCTCTGGCCTTTCCTAGGAGATATTTCTGACTAGAATGGTCTGGATGAGCCATTCAGACCTCTGCCTAGGGTTCAGCTGGGAGTGGGCAGAGAGTGGAAGGAGGGTGCTGGCCTCTCCTGTTCTCCCCTCTGGCCATGAGTGCTGCCTCCTATTGCAAGACAGGCATGCCCTGCCTATTATCAAAGGTCTTTTCCTAATTATCTCCTTTTTAGACAGACCACCCTGCTGGGTGTGATGACCCTTTAATTCTCTCTGATGGCCTCCAGGTCCACCTTCAGAAAGGTTTCCCTGACTCCATGAATCCCCATCCATTCCCTGGGCTCCCAAGCTTCTAATGAAGTCCATTCAGTTGGGGTGGCCATCCTTATCTTGTTAGGGACCTTTTCATCTTACAGCCCCTTCTTGTCTGAGGATGGCTGAGGTGAAACTGGAGTATCTATGTTCCTGTGTTTCTGAGGTCTAATCAGACAAAGGAAGATGGAGGAGATACAAAATAACAGTAACAAATACACTGTAACACTTATTGTGTGCCAGGCACTGTGCTATTTTGCAAACAGTTTCTTTCATATAATCCTTCCAAGAGCCCTTTACCATTTCCTATTACTCTCACCCTAATTTAATAGGGAAGTGGAGGCAAAGAAGCTAAGGGAAGTTCCACATCACACAGGTAATAGTGGTGGACTGTAAACCTTGAACTAGGGCGATGTAATTCCGGAGTCCATGGATGTATTTAACCACTAGCTTTATTGTTTCTCTTAGAGAAATAGGAAGAAAGCCTCCGGAGTCACATTAACTTATTTGACTTGGTATTAAGGTCTCTCACCTGGCCCTCTCAAAATCCCTCCCAGCATTCTCCCCCAAACTCCAAACAAGGTCCTTGCATTCCAGTCACCCTGCATTGGCTTTCCCCGTTTATCTTAACACTTCTGCCTACTTCATTTCCCGATCGCATCCGGGTTGGGGTTCTGTCCATTCTTTAGAGCTCAGCCCAAAGGGCTCGGCTTTCAGGTACTCTCTCCCGATTCCCGGTCAGAAGTGGGCTCGCCTTCTCCCAGGCCCCAGAGCACAGCCCTCATTCAGCTCTTGGAGCTGTCGGGTGCTGGCTTCAGGCTTCCTCTTCATCCTGCCGCTGCCCAGCGGGGCAAGGTTAGCGAACCGTCGGGAAGGCAGAAGTGCTCAACATATCTTGGTTTACTAGAAAGAGAGCAGATAATCGTAAAATGAGACAAGGAGTGAGACCTCCAGAGACCGAGAGCAATCAAAAAGGAACTGGAAGGCAGAAACCGAACGGGGTGGGGTGGGCAGAATGAAGACAAACGCACGGCGTTGGCCACACGGACCGCAGCCAGGGACCACTTCTCCTCGCACCCCTCTAGGCCCAGAGACTGACGGCGACAGTTCCTCTATAGAGACTTCTGGGCAAGCAGCCGACTCCTGGAGGGGTGCGGGCGAGCAAGACCAAGCGCAAGCAAGGCCTCTGGCGCTCGGGAGAGCTCGGGCGGTCACCCGCATCCTCGTCATTAGCATAAATTTCTTCAGCACTCCCAGCGGGCGGCGGCTGGGCTGCGCGGGCGGGGACCGGCGGACAGTGGCGCCCCCGCCCACCCTGCAGCCTGCGGCCCGCGCCTTCCAGCAAGTAAGGGTAATAACGCATCCTCCGACGGCGCGTTCCAGCACACAGAAGTCATTTTACAGCCATTACCTCCCTGGCACCTCGCAATCCCCCGGTGATAGCGTCTCTCCAGACACCAGAGATTAAATAACCATGGCAAAAGATCTCGCTTCTAATAAATGCCAAAGTCGGGAATCGAACCCGAGGCTTTCCGGTATCAGCTCTTTTGCTTTCCTGGTACACAATGGAGTCCCAGGATGCCTCTCTATCCAGAGAACTATAGTTTGGGAAGAAAGAGAGTTAAGAACTCCCCCCCCTTTATTTGTTCTTTTTAGATAGACAAGGCAGTACAGTGTATTTTGACATATTATACATACACGGTGTGTGTGTGTGTGTGTGTGTGTGTCGCGATTTGTGTGATTTGCGAGGAGAGAAATGTAGGTGGGACAGGATCTTGAGCCCCCAACCCATCATTTGGGGCACACGGATTGGGAGATGGGTACAATACTATCACTGTCCCTTTGAACTCAACTCAGCCACAGAAAATATAGCATCAGCCTCCCGAGCACCTGGGATTACAGGCGGGCGCCACCGCGACCGGCTCAGGAACTGATTTTTAGTGTGTGTGTGTGTGTGTCAGTGCTAAGTATTTTGCAACAACCATGTGAAAGCCAGGATCCAATGGCACAAGCCTGGCATCCCAGCAATTTGAGAGGCTGAGGCAGAAGGATTCCAAGTTCCAGATTCCAAGTTCTTAGCAACTGAGATCCTGTCTCAAATAAAAATAAAAAGAACTGAGATTGTAGCAACTCAGTGGTAGAGCGGCCTCTGGGTTCAAGTCCCACTACAAAAACAAAACAAAAACACCCAGCACATGAAAACAAGTACAATTGATTTATGGAAGGCCATATAACAATAAATGGAAGAACCAGAAAGAAAAACAAACAAGGCAACATGGATGAAAAGGGAAGACTGGGGGCTGGGATTGTGGCTCAGCGGTGGAGAGCTCCTCTAGCATGTGTGAGGCCCTGGGGTTTAATCCTCAGCACCACTTAAAAATAAATAAACAAAAATAAAGGTATTGTGTCCATCTACTTCTAAAAAATAAAATATAAAAAAGAAAGAAAAGGGAAGACTGGAGTCAGGTATCAGAAATCCCCCTGAGGAAAGTAGTAAAAGTTTAAGCTGTCCAGAGGATGACTAGAATTTAGCCAGATAAAGAGGCGGTGGAGGTCAGGAAGAATGTTTGGGTAGTTGAAACAGCAAGGGTGAAATTCTAGAGAAATAGTAGCATGGTGCACTTGAGCACCTGTAAAAGCCAGAGGAAGTGCAGCTGAAGGGGATACCTAGGGCAGGATAGGAGAGTCTTGTTAAGGATTTTGTTTTTAATTAAGGCAGCAAGCTTAAGTCATTAGTGGTTTTAAGCAACAGAAAGGTATGATTACAATTGCATTTTTAAAAGATCATTTAAGGTGTAAAGAATGCAAGGGAGGGTGCAGGCACTGTGGCTTCTCCTGTAATCCCAGCAACTGGGGAGGCTGAGGCAGGAGGATGGCAACTTCAAGGCCAGTTTCAGCAATTTAGCAAAACCCTTAGGAATTCAGACCTTGAAATAAAAAAAAAAATAAAAAGGGCTGGGGATGGTTCAGTGGTAAAGCACCCCTGGGTTCAATCCCCAATACCAAGGGGTATAGGAGAATGCAATACAAGGGTTCACAGTTTCATTGGTGATTGTACTACTAAACTCTTCCAGGGTGTAACAGTAGTTAGAAGATTAAAAAGCACACATAAGAGAATCCAGGAGTGGTACTCAGTAATTGGGGTGTGAAGGAGAGAGAGGGAAAGACAAGACATTCTGTATCCTCTGCTCTTCCTCAAAACTGAGCTCCAATCATTTAATATATTAATTTCATTTAATTCAAAATTGCTTTCATGAATATTTTCCACTTGTCCCCTCCTCCTCACCACCACTGCCACTGGTCTAAATCAATATGTTTTTCTCTTCAGATATTCTCCAAGCCATCTTAGCATATATATAAACATATACTTTTTTTAATGTTTTATTTGTATTTTTTAATATTTATTTTTTAGTTATAGGTGGACACAATGTCTTTATTTTATATTTATGTGGTGCTGAGGATCGAACCCAGTGCCTCTCGGATGTTAGGCGAGCGCTCTACCACTGAGCTACAACCCCAGCCCCTAAACATATACTTTTTAATTGAACCTGGGGTCTTGTGCATGGTAGGCAAGTGCTCTACCATGGAGCCACACCCCTAGCCCTATCTTAGTGTATGTTCTGAATCAGTTAAATCAATCTGCATCTCACCTGTCATTGAAACTATTACAGGACAAAATCCAATCTCTTCCTGGTCTCCTCTCAATTTACTTTGTCAGTTTTTCCTTCCCCCTTTTGGGCCAATATTGCTCCAGAGGTATTACACCTACTGAAACCACAGAGTCACCTGAAAGTTTAAGTAAACGTTCCCTCATAGCCCTAAACCTTTGTAAACTGTGTGCTTGTGTATTTATTAAACATACACTTGCCTCATTCCTCAGAGGTCACATGATCTTTCCACTGCCAGGAATTTGCCAATCCCTTCTCTCTGGGAAATTTCTATTCGCACTTCAAGTCCCAGCTCAGATATCAGTATCTAGGCTTTTTCTAACACTCCCACTCCCTAGATAGGATTAATTGCTTCCTCATTTGTGCTTCTAAGTTACTTTACACATATCTCTGTCCTAGTAGAAGTTGGACAATTTAGGCCTTGAGTATCTAAGGAACACAGACTAATGCAATCAACAAATGCTCCTGACTCTGAAAAGTTGGGAGGATTACATGGGGCAATATATTTACAGTTGCATTTTCTTTTTCATCCCTTTCCTAATAATGCTAATAATCTGTATTACAATTTACAAAGGACAAAGTTTGATAGCATTCCATCTGGAAATAAACCTGTGAGATAGTAATGGTATTTATTATTTCTATTTTATATTTGGAGGAAGTGATATACCTAAGAGTTAAAAAAAGGCCAGGCATGGTGATGTTCAATGCCTGTAATCCTAGCCACCTGGGGGTCTGAATAAGGAGGATTGCAAATTCAAGGCCAGCCTCAGCAATTGTAGTGAGATCCCTGAATACTTAATGAAACCCTGTCTCAAAATAAAATACAGGGGCTGGGTTGTAGCTCAGTGGTACTGTGCTTGCCTAGCATGTGTGAGGCACCACATAAAAATAAATAAATAAAATAAAGGTATTGTGTTTATCCACAATCAAAGATATTTTAAAAAATAAAAAAATATAAAAGGCTGGAGATATAGTTCAGTGGATAGAATACTCCAGAGTTCAATCCCCAGGGGCTGGGGATTTGGCTCAAGTGGTAGCGCGCTCGCCTGGCATGTGTGCGGCAGCACCACATACAAACAAAGATGTTGTGTTGGCCGAAAACTAAAAAATAAATATTAAAAAAAAAAAATGGACAAGTCCTTCACTAAAAAAAAAAAAAAAAAAATCCCCAGTACTGGGGGAAAAAAGTAATAATGTGGAGGTTGGGGGTATGTAGCTCAGTGGTAGAGCTTGTGGGAAGCCCTGAGTTTAATCCCAGCACTAAATAAATAAATAAATAAAGCCAGCAAGCAAGCTGGTTAAGCCGCATGCCTAAATAACAGTGCTCCATTGCTATTGTCAAAAATGGAGTCAAGTTTTCTGATTTTAAAATCTGTGATGGGGATTGAACTCAGGGCACTCTAGCATTGAGCTACCTCCTCAGCACTTTTTAATTTTTATTTTGAGACAGGGATTCCCTAGGTTGTGGGGGTGGCTTCCAACTTGTGATCCTCCTGTCTAAGCTACCCCAGTAACTGGGATTATAGGCAAAGGCCATTGTGCCCAGCACTGTGATTTTTTTTTTTTTTATGAACAAATTTAAAAAATGTATATATTTGTATTGTACAACATGATGTTTTGCTAAAGTGTTTAGGATGCATGAATCAAGCTAATTAACATATACAATTACTTCACATATTTATGTTTTTTTTCCCGTGGTATGAACTTATGGTCTACTCTTTTAGCAGTTTTCAAGTATACAATTCATTGTTATTGACTATAGTCATCATGTTATAATAACCTCCTGAATTTAATTCTCTGAAATTTACATCCTTTTTTTTTTTTTTTTTTTGTATTGGGGATTGAACCCAGGAGTGCTTAACCACCAACTATAACTTCAGCCTCCTCCCACCGCCATTTTTTTTTGAGAGAGTCTCACTAAGTTGCTGAGGATGACTCGAACTTTCCATCCACTTGTCTCAACCTCTGGAGTGACCGGGATTATAGATATGTTGCCATCGCACCCAGGGAAATTTTATATCCTTGACTAACATCGCTCCAAATGTGATCTTTCTATTAAATCACACTGCTTCTTGTATACTCTAACCAGTATTTTTTTTTTAAGTGCAGGGAGTCACTCACTGAATAATAAATTCATGAGGTAGGGACACCAATAAGGAATGAGGGATTAAAATAAAGTTCAGATTAATTCACATATAGTAAGGATGAACAGAGTCCGCTGATTCTTCCTTGTAATGTAAAATCTATTTCTCACTGCGGATCCAGATTTTTTAAAAGTATGAAAGCCCCTGCACCAGCACAATGCCAGGTTCTAAATGACACTTAGTAAATTGAATTATAACACTTTCATTTTGTATTCATTTTTGTTTCCTTAAACTGCTCCTCCATTCGTCGCCACTGGAAAGCAGAGATCACATTATTTTTCTGATTCCTAACAGAGATCAAGTTATGAAGTTGGAGTATTCATGTGTTTGTCAAATGTCAAATGAAAGCCTGAATGACAGTAAAGGGATAATATAGCTCAGGAAATATGGTTGAAAATGATTACTGTTTTAT